CGTGGATCCGTTAGACGGGCATGTTTAAAGACATATCGTGCAATGTTCCTGTACTTGCTCAAAACTGGTAAGAGGGGTGCTACATAGTGGGGAAAACGACGAGATTAACGGCGAAAAACCTGCGAAAAAACATTTGTTCTGCGCAGCACTGGACGTGAATTTTCGAACGAGTTTCCCGTTGGCATCGTACTAACGATCCGTTGATAAGTGCGGCTGCACGCATGTATATATCCATTTAGCAACGCTCATATCAACTGTATTTACGAGCACATACATGCAGCCGTATCTACCGTAGCTGTTATTGGCACGATTCCAACGGGAATCTCGTCCAAAGTTGCTTTCTGAGTCGTGTAGAACAAAGTTTTTTTTGCAGTTTTTGTGACCGCTTCACTTCGCTTTTTCGCTATTTTTCCACTATATGGCACCCCCGCTACCGTTTTTCACCAAGTTCCAATTTATTGTGCCTTATGCTTTTGAAGGCAAACAGACCGTCTGGCTGAGGATCCTCAACGTACAAAAAGGGCTGTTAATCAGAGCACCAATGATTTCACCCTCCCACATGACTGATAACACGAAACTGTTTACATTGCCTATTGATAGACCTCGTACAGTCAGTTATACCTGCACACATCATTGTCCCAGCTGCACTCATGCTACTCTGGATTATTTCAATATCGTGCCTTCTCGCTGCTATACCAAAGGTTTTGATGCAAATAAGAACTTTATTTCAAAATATATGAATTAAAGTCATTTTAGTCATCGGGACTTCCACGGGAAGTGCACAACAGGATTGATCATACGAAAGACAACGTTAAACAGGTACGTTTCCAATTTTCAACCTTGGGAATACTGCAGTAAAATGGTGGTTTCAGGCAACAGGAACTCTGATCGATCACATATTCACGTCAATTGAACAGCGTAAGGAAAGGGAAAAAGCTGCTCGAGATGCACTAGTACAGGTCATGAGTCATAGATAAGACAGCAAAACAAATGACGATATCAATAACCAGGCTTCAGCCAATATTGCTTTCAGGTCGCCAAAGAACTGCAACCATATCTGGACAAGTGAAAAAGCTGATCAGGTAAGCAGTTGGTACGAGAGTAGACAAGTGAAATGGTCAAACATCTGCAAAAAAGCCTTTGTTTACGCGACTCAGAAAGCAATTTCGGACGAGTTCCCGTTGGCATCGTGCCAATAACCGCTACGGTAGATACGATTGCATGTATGTACTCATATATCCATGCAGCACCGCAGCCGCTTCATATTGTTCTCGCAAGTAAAGCGACACGAGCATCAGCATCGGTCGGACATTTGAGGGCGGGCGGGCGCGGTGGGCGTCCGGGTCGTATGTTGCGACTTGATAGGACGCCCTAAGGACACGCAGCGCCTGCTCAAGGATCCGAAATCTGCCCTGCTAGGCGTATCAATCTTGCACGTCTTAGGGACCTTTTGCCTATGAATATGATGGATGTGTTTGTCCGATTAAAAATCAGAAGGCGATCAGTGATCCACCAGTGAGGACAAAAGCAAAAAGAGCCTAAAGAACACCCCAAAGAAATATCCCTCCCTCACAGCAGCATTGCCCGTGTTCTCTCGTGTTCTCTGGACGTGCTGGCAAACCGAAACTGCGGCCTCTGTGCAATCACTGCTCAAAAATCGTTTCTTCTCTTCCAGTATGAATCCGTTCCACTGGGAAAATCTGGAAAAAAACGCTGCAACAAGACGGTAGTACGAAGTTTGGGATCACGGAAAGCAATGTCCGACGAACTTTTGCACCACTGCGATTGCGTCGCTTGTGAATTTCAGCGGCGCTTGAACGCATCTTTCCTTATGAAGTGGGCTTAGCAAGTGCTGTTGCTTGCTTGTTTCTAGAAAAAGTATCCAGGGAAAGAAGATCGACTCGTGAGCTTGCGAAAGACCGTACGCTACTATTTTTGCGACAAGTACATGAGATCGGCCAATGATGCCGCAGGCAACATGCGCGGTGACTAGCGGCGTATATAGTTGTTATGTAGCCTGAAAACTTTAAAGTAGTAAAAGGTGACGCGTTTGTGACTGCTTTGTTTCGCATGTTCGTTGGCGAAACCAGTACTAACTCTGCGAATGCGGACCTGGCTACAATGTACCAAGGCATTTCACTGATCATCTGATGGCGGGCATTGTGAGTTAAGGCCTACATCCTCGATAGCCGGATTAGCGGAGTCTCACAACGTCGGGTTTGTTTTTTCAAGGGTTCACCTCTGTATGGTAAAGAGAAGGGGAGCGTTAATTAGCATAATGGAGAGTGAGTGTCTTTACTCCGCCCATTCGATTATCGTGGAATTTGTCCCTTATTTGGCGTACTTGGCGGTTGCTGAAAGGTAGTACCATCGGTAACGTTAATAAAGTGTCCCGATAAACAGTATACTTCACAACGAGTCTTCGCAACAAACCTGCTGTCTGTTTCTCTCTCAACAAGGAAAGATGCCTTAACTGTGTTTTGAGGCATGGAGTTGTACGGGCTTCATTTCCACGTTATTTCAATGTCAACAGAACCCTGCTGCCGTGCTCATCAAAGGTCTAGTTTGAAATGTCGGGTGTTCAGAGCCAGGAAAGTATTTTTCGCCTTCTATGGCGGCAAAGAGTGCAAGAAAGTCTTACGAACGGGCCAGTGAAGTTAGGCTCCACCAAACCGGCCATCCAAAACAGCGCTTTTGGTTTTCTCCATTATAGAAGCAAAGGTTTCGCGTTCTTCCATCTCTCTGACGCTGTATTTCAGTGTATTCGTAATTCCTTATGGGTCCCTGGGAAGCTCAGCTTTAGTTCACCTCCTGCCTGATTCTGACCACTTCACACATTTTACAGTTTT